CTTAGCATCTTGGGCACGCACACACATGCGCCTGGCTTGAGTTTAAGCCACTGGGTTCGGGACTCAAACCACGGTCAACTACATGGGAGTCCAGCAACATAGCCATTACTCCAACTGCTGGTCCCACCTTCTGAATCTTTCCACTTGAGTATTCCACAGGTAACCCCACCTTTGCATGTCCTAGACCAGTTTGATATTTTCTCCCTTTCCACCAAAACCTGTTCTCGCTCTGTGGCCCCTTCATTGAGCAACGGTGTCCTGTTTTTTCCTGTTTCTTCCAGAGAATCAAGGCGAGAACCTGGCAGTCTCCTTCATACCTCTTGTTTTTCATGTCCACTCTAAATCACCAAATTCTGCTTGCTCTTGGCATCTCTCTTCCATCCTCTCCATGCTTGCCACCAGCTGCCTAGTTTATCCCAGCATCCTCTGCTGTGTTACTGCAGAAGCCTTCTCACTGGGGTTAGACCCCCTTCTCTGGTCCATTCTCACACTGGGCCACAATGAGCTTCCTTTCCCATTTCTTGCTAAAACCTGTCAATATGTCCCTATTGTCTTTAGGATAAAAGGTCCACTCCTGCATTCCTCTGCATGGCGTGTAAAGTTCCTTTGTGTTCTGCACTGCTTTCCTTAACAGCCTCAGCTCCTTTTCCCGTCCTTCAAATCTATGATCCAGATGATTCAGAGCATGCTGAATCCCCAGTGCTCTCTCGGATCTCTACCTCCACTGGCTTCCCTTCCTACACCTTCCTGGAATCCTCTGTGCACACCCTTCTCTTAGCATTTACCAGATTACCCTAATGGCTGGATCATTTACTTACTTCTCCCACTAACCAGAAGCTCCTTCAACATAGGAATTGTGTCAGCATTCATGTAGTGCCTGTCAGGTAGTGAGCCAATGAATGAATAGCAATGAGACCCATTGATTCAAGAGCAAAGAGAAGGTGACTGGTGGGTATGATGTGTTCTGAAGACTGTAACTGAAGTGAGGGATCTTTACATGCCAGCCCCTGTCCCAATTCCTTCATTGTTTGCTCTAAAGAGAAACCAGC